ATGTTGCCATCGTCACACACACACACACACACACACACACGGGGCAGAGGGGTAAGAAATGCTGTAAGAAATCTCTGGGGACTGTTGCTTGAATCTTTCGATCTTAAGAGATTCGAGTTGTGGCTGCTAATGGCAATCTCCCAAATTGCTATGCTCTTTTCCCTTTCCCCTTTGTGATATTTTATTGTGTAGGCCACAATCTTTTCTCGCCGTGCATGTCTTAGCTGCCGCATGGGCGTGTTTTCCGTGCGCTTGTGATCTTTGACTGGGCAGGGTATTTGATTGGAAAAATTCAGTGGAGCAGAAGGACAACGCCGCCTAGCGCTACAAGTCCATGTGCTGCTTGGTCAACAGATGCCGGCTGCTGCTGCTGCTGTTCACTGGGGTTTCGTTGGTTGGGGAGTGTCAGTCAGGTGAACCATTGACACATAATACATAAATAAAAGCAGATACAGATACTACCTGGCATTCGTACTCGTATTTGTACAGGTTACAATATTGTGCAGTCGACCGCAAATTAGTTTCAAATCTCCCGGGCTGCTGTTGCTGCGGTGTGGCAGGATCAACAAAGAGAGAGCATAGATAAATTCATGGATTCATCCATAGATATGTACTGGTTCTGGTCATATTTGTTCGAACCTCTCTCTGTTGTTTATGTGTTTATTTTTGCGTTTAATGCTTGCCAATTGCAGCTGCCCCACCGAGAGCAAACAAAAATATTCCCCCAAACGTTGGCGGGACTATCAAATCAAGTATACCACGCGCTGACCCCACCTCAAGGTTAACCGACCCGACCCCACAAAAATAGTAAAACAAATCCTGACCATGGTCAATGCCTGACATGCAGCCCGACTGACTGCCCTCTCTCTCTCATTCGTACCATACTGACACGCACAATAGGTAGCAGGAAGCGTTTGAATGATGTGTAGCTTCCACAGTAACATTTTCCACATCATTTTCAATGCATTGCAGTGAGAATGCCTGAGACAGCTGCCCAGTAAGGGGCATCTTTTGGTCGGATCGTTGGGGCTTGTTTTCTTAGTTGTTTTGTTTACGCGCTGCGCTGGACACATAATTTATTTTGGCTGCCTTGGATGTCCTTGCGTGTCTTCCTGTCTGTGGGTTGAGTGGGTTGAGTGGGGCCTGCCTGCTGGCTGTCAGCGCCTTGCAGATAAGCTGACTGCGAGAAATATGCTCGCCCGAATGCTCCCTAACGAATGTGCGAATAATGAGCAAATGGAAGGCGTAGCGAATGTGGTGCCCACAGATCCCCAGATCCACAGTCCTTCAGAGCCACACTCTGGGTCTATGTCCTGCCGAAGCGACCGCCAACAGACATAAATAAAACGCACTACATCGACTTTAATTGGTCACGCCGGCCCGTAAGGGAATCCGAATGGGAAAAGCGAACAGCGAACAGCGAACGCGGCTAAAACTTAGCGGCTTTACGGCTAGAGATGGTTGCCACGAACCCAAGTCACGACTCGAGAGGGGAGTTCCTTGTGCATTGTGGCTCTGCAATTAACTCGTGTTGTATCGCGCGACTTACATGGAGCACGCGCACATCCCCAGGAAAGCGGAGTGCCCTGCCACTGGTCCCTGTTTCGCTCTTTGCTTGCTGCTGGAGAGGATGTTAATATGGGCAACTGATTTATGTCTGCACAGAGACAGAGACAAGAGCAGAAGCAGTCGGTACACGCTACGGACGTGGCCATCTTCAGTAGCCGGCGCCAGACGCACGCGGCACATCCTTCATACTTCAACGTTCGCCAGCAACAACGAGCTGGCCGGCCCCGTATCTCAGTCTCTCCTTTTCTCCGTCTCCGTCTCCGTCTCTGGCCATGGCCCATGGCTTGCGTGGCTCATCGTCATCGTTGGCATTATAAATGATTTTAATAATTTGAAACGATTTGTTTAGTTCTGCATCAAGTCGGATAAACGTCGATGATTAATTAGCAGAGAAAGGCGAAGGCGAAGGCGAAGGCGATGGCGGATCCTTTTTGGTATCCACTTGGCATCGCATCCAAATTCAAATGTGAACCCAGTACACGCTCTTCCCCCTTCCTTCCCTTCGCATTGGCGTTTTCCTAATCAACTTTTTGGTTTCATCTCCGCTCCTCTTCTGTTTTTGTCGGTTTGGATGTGTTGTGTCTGTTGATGCCCCAAAAAGCGAAAATTAATTGGCGCCTCCGCGATTCCCGCTCTTCGTTAATTGATAAATGGTTGTTTTTGCGTGCAGCGGGAGGGAGGGGAATTGTTTGTGGCACTATCTGCTGCCGACATATGCAAATGTTGTTGCTCCCGTTTGCTTTTTTATTCCCCCGTTTGCTGGCTGGCCCAGAGAGAGCGATGTGTTATCATAAATGGGATTTGTCTACCTCATGCGCCGGCCGGGCTTCCTTCTTGGATTATTCCTGTGTTTGCCAGTCCGCCCCCAAATCAATTGGAGTAATTAAATTTACAGAAATATAATTATTTACACCATGCACAACCATTTGGGTTTGGGTGCCTGAACACACTCAACAAAACCAATTTATGCCAGAGATATGTACGTACATGTGTAAATATTTGCACTGAAATGCGAACAGAACTCAAATTGAAATTATTGTTAAAGGAATATCCCACAGCCACGAATATCCCTTGTTGCATGCAACTGCTTGCACTCCAACTCCTCTGCTCCGTGCCTCACTCTGTTGCTGCTTTGGCTCCGACCTCTGGCTCTGGCTCTGGCTCTGGCCATTTGTCTTGAATGCCATGCTGGCCAGCAGAACATTAATTCTAAAAATGTTTGGACATTAATTAGGACCACTCATTGGAGCCGGTGGTGCTGCAGGTCTCCACATAGATAAATAAATAGATGCAGATAGAGTATCCAACGTGTCCTGTTTCCGAGTGAGCATCTCTCACTTCGGGGCGGCAAAACGCAATTTGTCAGCACTCGCATTATTGACACATATAATCCATAATTGTCAACATTATTTGCCCAGCTTAATTCGAGCCAATAAATTGAACTGAAAAGAGTTGTGGCAGCAACACGAGCCTCGCCGAGTCCTTTCTGCGCCTCACCGCCCTCCGGCCATCAATTTATTCATTGTAATATCATTTCACTCTCTTTTTTTTGTTTTTTTTTTGTTTTCTTCCTGTCGACAATCAAATGTGGGAATTAATAATCGATCCAGGGGGGGGCATTTCATAATATTTTATTTCATCATGTTGCGGAGCCAAGCCAAGCCCTTGATTGTTTCATAATCCACAATTTGCATATGCAGATGGAATTTGTTATAAGTCGTAAAAAAGGGAGCAGGGATAAATTTCTGATAAATTATCATCTAATTAGATGGATTAAACTAATTTAAAATGCTAGTGAATATTGTTACACGCTGCCGGTAGGCGATGTTCCAGCATATGGATTGGATTTTAGTAGAAAATTTCTTTTCTTTTTTCTTTCTTACTTACGTAAATGCATTCAATAATTCATAGTTTTTATGCAACTTGAATACGAACTCTTAATCACATTTGCTGCTGCTGCTGCTGCTGCTGCTCCCATCTACTTGGTGGCACCTGCAAATGCGTTTCAATTACTTAGGATAATTAAACGAGTCCTACACTTTGCAGGCAAATGGGCAGGTGAATGGACAAGGATAATGAATGAATGAATGAATGGAAAAATGCAAAAAGCAGCTGCACCCATCGGGTGGATGACAGATGATGATGATGATTGTCTTCAAGGGACAATAAACATCAACTCACTTTGTGTCCGCATTATGTCAACTTTGTATCATATCGTGCGAGTATTTGCAAGAGAGTCCACATGGAAAACCCGTGGGGAAAACAGCTGCTGATTGAATGAGGCCTGCCGCTGCCAGGACGGATTAATAACCTCCTCGTCCACGCCCATGGAGGCATTGAAGCCCGAGGTGCTTATAGCATTATCCGGTAGAAGGCCAAGAAAAGCGAATTTCCCAAATAAATCTTGCTCCGCTTCAAGAAAATATTCCATCGCAATTTTTTCATTACTTCTCTTAGCGCCTCATCCTCCTCCTCTCCTGTTGTGTGTACCCTCGGCGAGTGGAGTATATTGATTTTGTCAGAGCTACAGGCGAGAATGTCCGCAGACCTGTTGGAACCTTGAAGATCGCATCTCTAAACCAACCGAAATCAATAGGCCAATAGGTACCCAAAGCTACGACTCCGATGATATACCCCGCACCTTGCCTGTTGTTGTTCCTTTTCTGCATAGTTTATGGGTGGAGGGGGGGGGTGAGTGGGTGTCGGGTGGACCAACGGATTTCCATATAAAAACAAATGGACGCTGCAAAGTTATAAATTTATTGCTTAACTTTAAAATACCACCGCCGCAGTGCAGCGCTCGAGACGGCGGCAAGCGGGAAAGGTCGAGGGAGCGAGAGGGAGAGGGAGAGCGTCAGTATTTCTCGCAATTACGAGTCCAGTGGCATCCAAGGGGGGGGGGGGGGGGGGGGGGGGGGGGGGGGGGGGGGGGGGGGGGGGGTGGGGCAAACAGGGAGGAAGCGACGGCTGCAGTGGCGGAAAGTTGCAAAAGCGTGCCGGAGGAAATGTGTTTTTCGCTGTGTCGAGTGTTGAGTGACTGCGAATAATTTATTAGCTGCGTGAAAAATAATTTATGCTGAGTTTTTTTCACCATCTTCTTGCCCTTGCTGTTGCATGCTGCAAACAGCGGCGGGACCGGGAGTCGTGGCCTGTTGGTCCATTTGCATCGTCGGTCATGGACTCGCAAGCCGATGCATCACAGCAGAGGCATTCAATCTAAATCAAAAAAACATTCAATCGCCGTTCGAGAGCCACTGCCTGCATGCGTGCGTGCGGTGGGTAACTCGGCTAAGCAGCACAGTTTTAGAGCAGCTGTGACATGGGTTTAGTGCGTGTAACAAGCGTGTAGAATGTTGTGCTTACAAATGTAGCTGCGGAGTAGAATGGATTTTACACTTGGTTCAAAAAGTATTCAGACACTGTTCTGATGCTTCGTTTAAGTTAAAATCTGGTACGTTTATTAATGTATAATTATTACTGGAATACGAATACGAATACGAATACGAGTACGATTACATTTTACATTTCACATTTTTAAAAATATGACGAGAATTGCAACAAGGGTTAAAGAATTTGCTACAGACTAAGCAAACGGCAGGCATCTCCTCTCCATGGCCCCTCCTCACATATCATCTTCCCCCATCTGCCATGTCTGGGACCCACGGATGCTACGTCTACGTCGGATTCGAATTCGAATTAAGGATTACGATTAGAGTTGGGCATGGTTAACTCGAGGAAGACAGGGGGGGGGACAGAGCACCGGTGAGCAGTGGAACGCGCTCTCGGAGCTCACTTTGTCTTGGCGCTCCGTAAATTCGATGCAGAGAGCACGGACCGTGGCGGAGGCGGGCGATCGAGGCTGTCCATGTGATGGCGACGCGACGGCGTCAACGTGGACGTCGACGTCTCGTTCTTGCGGCCCAGGCGACTCAGGGTGCTGGCACTGGTGGCTCCATTGTGCGGCGGCGGCTTGCGTGGCAGTGTAGACATCTGCAATGAGTGAAGATGCAGACCCAGAAGGTAAAGGGAATGCGACTGGGCACTCACCCGCTTGTTCTGCTCCTGGGAGTAGTTGATCTCGTAGCCCTCGCTGATGTGCTTGGGCTTCCAGGGGGCCAGCATTGACACGGACCTGGACACGGTGCGCGTCATGGGCTGGAGGGGTGGCGGCGGCTGCTGCTGCTGCTGCTTGCTGGCTCCACCCTTGCGGAGATCCTCGCGGGACACGGAGCGGCGACGCAGGTTGTATGGCTGTGGGATGTCGCCCACTGTGGTGGCGTGCAGGTAGACAACGCTCCGCTGGCTGTGAAGACTCGACTCGCCCTCGGTGCCCGAGCTCTCGGCAGGAAAGCGATCCCTGAAAAGAAGTTCCAGTCAGTTGCACTCTCTCTCTCTCTCTCTCTCTCTATCTCTCTAGGACTGTAAGGACTCACCTGCCGTAGCCGACATTTTCCTGGCCCAAGCTGGAGAGGAGTCCGCGACGCTCTGCACTACGTGCGGGCTTCGGTGGTCCCATCAGCGGGCGATCCTCGAAGCGCTGAACCCGCTGACCCTCCGCTGCCGACCTCTCCAGCGACATGGCTCTCTGCGTGGAGCTGCGCTTGTGCCGCTCCGCCGGCTCTGGCTCCGAGCCGCTCTCCGAGATGTCGTGCAGCTCGCGGGAGCGCGAGTAATGCCGCCGCTTGCGGAAATCCACCTCGTCGCTGCCGTTGTCCAGATGCTGCATCGAGCTGGCCCGCTGGCGACTGCTCACTGCCGATTGACTGCCCTGCGACTGGCCGGAGAGCGTGTGGCGATAGTCCCTCGAGGGCGGAGGTGGACTGCGGTCCAGATTATAGGCACTCTGCGAGTGCTTCGACTGGCCCAAAGACGGACGACTTCTGCGAATTGGATTGGATTGGATTGGAATGGATTTAGATGAGCTCTGTCTAGGGGCTGCTGCTGCAGGCATACCTGGGCATGCTGCTGGCCTTTGAGATGGTTGGCGGATTCGAGTCCAGATCGGTGTCGCCGAAGAAGCGCAGATTCTTGGCCGGGGCCGCCGTTGCATTCCGTTTGCTGCGCTTCAGGCTGGAGGTATTTTCACTGTGTCCATTGACAGACACATTCAGCTGAGGGGAATATGCAAATGGGACTTGATGATGCTCCATCCACAGTGATCGAAATGATGATCTAACTCACCTCCTTGGGACTGCTCTTGGCCCGGCGATCCAGTGACTTGAACCAGCTCGTCTTTTCCACCTTCACCGGTGTCGCCTCCTTGGCCTTCTGCGGCAGTTTCTTGGGCGGCTTGTCCGCCGAGCTGCGCTTCAGCAGCAGGGGACTAGCTTTGGGCGTGGACAGGCGGCGTCGCATCGAGATATCGATAGTCTGTTGGTGGAAGGGTTAACGGGGAAGGATTTATGCATTGCTTTCGCTTTCGGGTCAAAGGTTTGCGTCACTTGCAACAGGTTGTGGCCTATGTGGGGCAGGTGGCCTTTGCACACACACACACACACACACACAACCAACAAAAAAATAAACTTGTTTTGCCTTTTGTGAATGCGAGTCGGCAGTCGGCACTGTTTTTGGCCGGCCCAATGAAACTTTGGCCCACTTGCGGTTGAAACTGTATTAGGCAGGCAGACAGAGAGGGAGAGGGGGAACTCTGAGGCTGAGGCCTACTCGAGTGATTGGTTAAGGCCGCAATGGATATTGGATATTGGATATATGTACATAGATTAAAGGTTTCATTCTCCTTCGATTGCCCCGCTCTTAAACACAATTTCCACTAGACCATCGAATGTGGTGGAATGTCGCAGCACCCACTACATAATCAAGTATTCAAATAATAAGAAATAAAACCCAGAAATTCAGCGATCGATGCTCGAATATAGTTTATGGACAATGTTGGTTATGGCGGATGGGGGCCCATAAATAATCAAACAGAATTATTGACACAAATTTGTTCGTGGTTTCTTTTTCGGCATGTAGAATCTTTTGGGCGAATGAATGGCGAGGCACTTAACGATTTCTTTGGAAGACGGCACTTCGGGCGGCATTTTTTTATGAGCAGTCGGGCGGGGAATGAATAATGGCAACGCATTGTCCCAGAGATTGGGGCATGTATTTACCGCCAATCGTGGATGCCTTTTCCTTTTCCTCTCCGATCTCACACGCAGACATAATTTTTGACAACGGTCAGAGGCGGGGGAGGGCGGCCACACCTTTTCGAGCCTGAACAATGGACACAGTGTGTGTGTGCTCCTGCAGGATGAGGCATGCCGCACACTCTTAGACTTTGGTTTGGATTGAATTGTGCCGCCCCCACTTGGTACATCCGGCAGAAGGCAAACGGCAAACGGCAAAGCAGCGCAAAGTGGCAACATCCTCAAGCCGCTCTTAGACTTGGCCAAGAAATTCGCTCAAGCATTGCAAATTGGCTTGCAGCACGCAGTAGCTGCAGTGGCAGCATGTTGCATGTTGTGCAATATGGACGGCAAACACCTCGACAGTAGCTCAAATCGTTTTGGAATCCGAATTGGATTCGGGGCGCGAGTCTTAGCCAAAATCCCCCATGCCCCATGCCTCGCCCCCGATGTCTGTTGCTGTTGCTTTTGCTTTTGCTTTTGCTGTTTCTGTTTGTCGTTTCGCTGTCAGCTTTCTTAATTTGCGAGCAAGTGACAGACGGACAAACTGACTGAATGACAGACTGACAGCGGCTGCGTGGGCCCTGTTTCTACTTCTACTTCTACTTCTAGCCTCATCGCACCTCTCTCAGCCCTCAGCTCTGAGCTCTGAGCTCTGAGCTCTCCCATTTCCATCTCTGGCTTTAAGCCCCACTCTTGACGCTTTTGTTCTGGCTTGAAAATTTATACGACGCCTCGTCGCCTGAATAGTTTCGTGTTAACGTTTTTCGTTTCGTTTGCAATCTCTATTTGGCCAGTTGTCGTTTATTATTAAGGCACAGTCGCTGTCTCAGTCGCTGTCTCTGTCGCTGTCGAGTAAGTATTTCTTTATGGTCTTGACTGTTTTGATTAGGTGCGCGTATTCCATCCGCTGCGTAGCACAATCCGAGCCCAAGATGTGCCTCTAAGTGGACGTGACGTCTTGTCGTCTTGGCCTGCCACCATTTTCGGCCAGATTGAGACGAAGCGAGACGCCCACCCGACCTGGACTGCACGCCCATTGATGCCCCACCGACTTGAGCAGGAAGTGGACAAACACAAAGACAAAGACAAAGCAAAACAAATACCCCGAGCAGAGGGCCAGCATCGACGCAAGTCTTGATTAATTCGAAATTAATAATAGTCGGCCATGGGCAAATGATCGTCTGGGGAGGGTCTTGGTATCCGATCCCAACCAATGCCCATCCACGCGGGTGAATGAACTCTGTTTGCTCTCTTTGTGGCGCCATCAATTGGGCATTAGAGAACCCAAAAGGGTCGAGGGGATCTTGGGGTATGACTCACCTTTGGTTCGCGTGAGTTCTCCTCGGCTAAAGCCTGATGCTCACGGTAGCGCGAACGCATCTCCTCCTCTCTGACCATATAGCGTTCCCTCTCCTTTTGTTTTTCCTTGTCGCGGCGACTCAAGGTGCTGCTGTTGCTCTGACCATTGCTCAGGCGCTCCTTCTTGCCACTGGAGACGTTGCTGCCACTGCTGCGCCCGCTGCCGCCGTGGCTGCCACTTGCAGCGCCCGTGAACAGCTGCTTGACCTTCTCGAAGCCGCCCAACTTCTTGTTGCGCTTCAGCGTGCTGGAATCCTCGCGAGACTGAGACTGCGGCTGCGACTGGGAGCGGGACTGCGACTGCTGTTCGCGTCGTCGCAGCGTGCTGGTGGCCACCGGATACTTGTCCAGATGCGGATCAAAGTGGGAGCCATCGTCGATGGAGCGCTCCCTGTACACGTAGCTGTTCTCCCGCCTCAGACGTGCCGGGATGATGGCCTGCCGTTGCAGCTGGCGCTGCTGGGCGCTGTCGCGGCGCTCCTTCCGCAGAAAGGACTCGCAGGCCCGCATGTCATCGATGGCCGTGCGCTTGCGCCACCTGCAAACAAAGGGAAAACGAATTCTAAAGATGCCAAACAGAGAGAGAGAGAGTCCACTTACCTTGTGGTTAGATCCCCATTGAAGGACTCCTTGCGGAAGTCATTCTCAATGCCCGAATCGCCCTTGTCGAAGCTCCGCTGCTGCAGCTTGTCCCGCTTGAGGCTGCTCTGCCAATAGTCCTGCTGCTGCACCCCCGACTGCTGCTGCTGCTGGTGCTGGTTGGGGCGCAGCTCTGGCGAGGATCGGTACAGATCGGTGCCCGTCAGCTGCGAGTCGAGGCTCTTCGGCTCGTGCTCCAGCCTGTCCGCCGAGTTGTAGTCTCGTTCGCGCTCCCCAATCCGTTCGCGGTGCCGCGACTCGCGGATCTGTCCGTCCTTTTGGGTCTCCCGCACATAGGTCTCCTTGACGCCGCCGTGCCCGTCATCGTAGTACTTTGTGTGCCGATACCGCGAAGTCTTCTCCATCTTGGGCAGCGTGCCGTCCACCTGGGAGCGTTCCTGCTGCGCCGGATACTCATTGGACAGCTCCGTTGGCCGCGCTGCAACCCGCTGGAAGCGCTCTTCATCTCTCTCGGGACTCAGATAGACACGTCCTCGATCCCTCTCCCTCTCTGGCTGTTGCTCCACTCTGTTGTGGCGCTCCAGGGTGGCGGCTCCCTCCCCGAAGCGACGGGTGAGTATGCGGGTCTCCAGCTGGGCCCGCCGGTAGCCCAGCTCGTCCAGATACGGCGCGGGGCTGACGCTGCGTATCACGGGCACAATGGGCGGCTCGGGCCGCCGGGGCGGGTACTCGTCCTCGTAGTAGACCTTACGCGGCTCATAGCCCAGGCCCTCGTCCTCGTCGCTGAGGTTGCGGGGACTGAGCTGCTGCCAGGGCGAGGGCGAGTGCGAATGCGAGTGGCTCACCCGAGTGGGCAGCGGTGCTGCTCCTCCATTGGCGGTCGGGGAGTAGCTGCTCTGTCCGGGACTGTGCTGTGCCCTGTCGTTGGCCCGGGGTGGCCTGGCGGGGGCGAACTCCCGCTGCGGGGAGCGCATGTCCCGACCGAGAGGCGAACGCTGGCGGCTCTCTTCGAGCGGACTGTGGTCCAGCTGGGCGTAGGTGATGCCCTCGTTGGGCCGGATATAGGAGAAGCCCGGCTGACTGATGTAGGGCTGCGGGGAGAAGCGCTCCATGGACAGACGCTTCACCAGTCCGTCCACGGTGCGTCCCTTGGTGAGGGGCAGCCGCTCGGCCGGCTGCTGGGAGCTGTGCATGTTCTCGTTGGACTTGGCCCTCAGGGTATCGATGCGGTCGCGTATGCCCGCCGATATGGAGGCGGAGAAGGTGTTGCCTCCGGCTGCTGGCTCTCGCTTTAGTAGGGAGGCGTCTGGTTCCACCTGGGAGCGGCTGCGGTTGAGCAGTTCGCTCAGTCCCGACTCATCCTTCTCCCGGAGTGTGACCGCGTCCGACTTGCGCCTCTCGCGCTCCCTGAAGTAGTCCTTCTCGAAGAAGTCCTCCCTCTGGGCCTGCTCGATGATGGGACTCAGCTGCTGCTTGGAGGCGCTGCCCGTGGCTGTGGCACTGCCAGCAGATGCTGCCTCTGGCCTCTTGGTTACTCTGCTCTCGGGCCTGCGCCCGCCCACATCACTCTTGCTGCGCACTAGACGCCTGGCGCCGCCGTCCTCGAAGCGCGGATCCCGCTCCAGCTGGTTGACATTCGAGTCGCTCTTCCGGCTGAAGAGGCCGAAGATCGAGGGCCGCTTGCCTGCTGGCTTCTTGCTGGAGGCGTCGCTGGCACTCCTGGCCACCGGTTTGCCCTTCTTCCTGCGCGTCGGCAGCGAGTGGAACCTCTGGGCGTCGCTCTGGCGCTTCTGTTTGCTCCTGAAGTTGGATATATTCTCCCTGTCGCCGTTCTCCGCCTTGCTGTGATGCCTGCCCGCCTGGGCAATGACCAACGCTGCCTCCTTCCTTATGTCCGCTGGATCAATGTCCGGCGGCAGTTGATGGTAGCTCGGCCCTTGGCTCGATTCGTATTCGCTGGGACGTTTGCCTGCAAGAGAGAAGAGAGTTGTTTTAGTTAGTTCCTCGAACTAGTTGTAATGACAAATTAGCACATTAGCCAGCCAGCCAGCCAGCCAGCCAGCCAGCTGGCGAGGCGATGATGTAATATCTGCCATGGCAGCCGCCACAGTTTCAGCCACAAGTGTGAATTGGCCACAGCTGGCTGCTAAATAAGGCAAACCCCCTACCACCATCCCCACCCCCTCCCGACCACTTGTCCAATTCCGTTTGAGTCCAACAATGGATGTGGCCCACGTCTGCAGCAGCAGCAGCAGCAGCAGCTTGTCGGTCTCTTGGAACGGGGACTGGACTGTGATGTGCTCCGATGTGTGCCGATGTGTGGTTGGGGGGGATGCGTGGGGAACGCTTACTCTGTAATCGGTGGCTGTAAGCGCTAATGGCCCATTGAAGAAGAGGATTGCGCTGCCCGTTGATCTATCATCAGTCTGCAGTCAGTCTTCAGTCGGTTCTGTTCTGCCGAGGGAATGTATCTCATAGAGATTCTTCTTCCACTTCCTCACTTGTTGTTTTGTTTTTTGTTCTTTCATAATCATTATTATTATTATTTAATACGCCGAAAACAACAGCAAAAACCACAAAACAACACCGCACAGAACTGAGAGAACAGAGAGAATGAAAAAGAAAAGAAAAACGTGCCACAGAACGAGCAAAACTAGATTTGATTTTTGTGTTGTTGCTTTTTTTTTCCAGGCCAAGATGCGTGATCTCTGCTCTGGCAGTGAGCCAGGTAGACCCTTTGGAGATGCCAACACGCTGCTGAGGAATCTTTCGTACATTTCTTCAGAGACCACCCGCCAAAGGGGTCTGACCTTGTCTCTAGATCAACTCTAGATTCAGTCTCGGGCAGGTCTCCAGCTGGTGGCTGGTGGCTTGACCATTCACCTGCACAACCTGTCACATTTATGGGCAGCTCACAAACCGCTCCCACATTCGCTTCGATTCGTGGCGCAGCCAGCAACCAAATGGCAAAAGTGACACCGATGTCTAATCGAAGCTCAAACAACAATGAATAATGACAGAGCTGGGCGTGTCGTGTGCCAAATTGGTTTAGGCCAAATGGGATTGAGAAATTGAACAGATCGAGAGAACAGAACATAAATATATAAAGAGGGAATTTCAATGGTTCGACTCGGAGTTTGGCGAAGGTGGGGATCAGGTGCTGGGAGTGGATAAGCCAAAGGCATTCCACACTCCATTCTTCAGCGCATACACTCGTATGTGGCATCTCTTTGCCATCAGCTGTCTGTCAAGGCAGTATATGTGTCAAGGTGAAATGTTGCACCAGCAGGGGCAGCTGCGATGCGATCATGATGGTTACAAGGTTTCGTTTTGTCGAGAAGGCACATCATCGCACATCTCATGCTCATTCCATTTCAGCTGGGGGCGTTTTCTGTTCGTTTCTTCGTTTTGTTTTTGTGGAGGCAACAGGAAAACATAAATTCGCACTAAGCGACAGCATAGCTCCGAAGCTCCGTAGCTCCGTGGCTTGTAGCCGAATCTCTGAAACTAAATTCAATGTCGGTTAACCGTAAACCGTCGTTTCTCAGAGTCTCTGCAACAATGAGTGGCCGCTGCCGCTGCTGCAGTTGATTGATTACCAACGGTGCAAAAGGCAAAGGCGCTGAAAGCCATTCATTAATCTAATCATTGATCCAGTTAATGCAATGCCACGCCAGCTACCAGCTATCCATGGAGCAGCTATGATCCTTTGCTTGATCTTGATCATCCCATTCCATGCTGAACCTTTTTGGTTTTTTCGCCGATGATTTTGGTAGAGTTTTGCGGTAAAAGATTTCTGATCCACTTTTGGCAACTGGTCTCCGTTAGTGTTTGGCCCCCGGGTGCCTTCGGTTCCGGTTTCGGGCTGTGGTTGCACGTAATTTGCTTGTCGTGATAGCCAAGGTGAGCCTCCACTCTGCCGCATGCCGCATGCCGCATGCCACAAAACACACTGACCAACTTTGAGCACCAGCAAAAAATAAGGCACGTAAGAAAAACCAACAGAAATCAACAGAAACTCATATAAATAATGAAATCTGCGCTTTGTGGCACGACTTTCACTTGCCACAAGTGGTTTTCTTTATTTTTGTCTGTTTTTGGGCAGGCTGAGCTGATGGAAAGGGGGGGGGGGGGGGGGGGGGGGGGGGGGGGGGGGGGGGGGGGGGGGGGGGGGGGGGGGGGGGGGGCAGGGTCCTGTTTGTCGATGGTTTTACCTTAGTTTAATGATACAACGCGGTAATTGTCTGTCAATGATGATGATGATGATGCGACGACCTCAACTTCGCTTCATTAGGAGCAACCACAAAGACACAGCCAGCAGCCCCCAACCCACAAGAGATAGCAAAACGTTTTAGTTGGCAAAATGCTTTATCCCCTGCCGCCGCTGCTGCTGCTGGCCATGTCAGTGACAAGATAAGGTCGAATCGAACGTCTGCTAAATGGAGAATTCGCCCGCATTCTGCGCCCGTGGCCCAGCTCTACGTCTGAGGATGGGTTCGGTCTGGGCTCTGTGGCATGCACAAAGATGTGCCTTGGGTTGCCATGGGGTATTTCAATTAACCGCCAGCGCACTTTCGATTTCGTTTAAGAAGCTGCCTTGGCCTAGGCCTAGACCCTGGCTCTCTTTTATCTATAGCCCCCTGCGACAGGCCGCATTTATTTTGTGCATGGAAAATAATTTAATGCTCTTCGCTGCTAATCGTCTGCCCCTGTCTGTTCCTGGCTCCTGCAGCTAATCACATCAAAAGCGGCGCAGCGTCCTTGAGACTGCGCCTCGAGTATGCAAATAGGCGTGTTGCATTGACATGATCCCCCTACACCGCTACCACCACCGCCCCTGCCCATGCTCCCGCCGATGCAACTGCAGGCTGAAACCCAATTAAAATTGCTGGCTGCCTGCCCACCCCCATTCCAGAATCGATTTCAGGTGGCGCGAGGAAAGGGGAGACAAAAGACTCGGGCGACAAACTCGTTTCTCCCTCGGCAAAAGCAAGAGAGAGGGCGGGCAAGAGAGAGCGGAGAGCGGAGAGTGGAGAGCGGAGAAGCTGTCAACGAAAAGACACGAAAAATACACACAGAAAACATTTCAAGTTAAAGAGCTCTAAAAATAATCTGCGACTCATTTCAATACACATTTCGATAAACAAATGACGCAATCCGCGTCTGCAATTTGCGTTTTCCCCTCTTTACTTTATATTTGTTGTGTATTTGCGACAACTGAAGTTGATCTGCGGATTGATCGACAACTCCATTCACCCGAAATTGAACCAAAATTAAATTCTTAACACACACGCACTCGAGGGGACTCGGGGAATGGGTACTCTATACTGGCAATGCCCATCAGGCTGAGAACCCGACTGCGTCCAATATCAGCCAGAGACTGAAAGCAAGGCACTGAAAGCAAAGCCCAAGTCGACGCCAACGACGACGTTGACTGACTGCCTACGCCAATCCAATGTCATTGCGACCAAAAGCCAACACAGAGCCAGAGCCAGAGCCAGAAAATAGTGCGAAATTTGTGGGCAGGCAAGGCAAATGCCAAAAGCTGAGAGCTGCGAGACTTATTAATTAAGTTTGCTCTGGGGAGCAGAGCACAGAGCGCAAGCAAAACAAAATGATGTATGCAAATGATGTATTAATAAAAAAGCATAAATGGCATTTTAATAGTGGCCTTCCCAGAGCCCAAAGATGGCACGAGCAAGAGCAGACCCACACAGACAGGCGGACAGAAAGGCAGGCACAAAAAATAACCAGTCGACTCTTTGACAAAGTTCGCACTCGGGCAAATCAAATGTGGAGCTGTGGAGCTGTGGAGCTGTGTGGAGTAGCAGTAGCGAATCGAGAGTAGGAAACGTAGCAAATCTCATAATAATGACTTGCTCATTGCCTAATTAAATTAATTAATTAAATGTGTATGATCTCATTAAGGCGCAGGCACTCGCTCGCTCGATGGCTAGCTGGCAGCTGCCACATAATGGGGGGAAATGTTGTGGCATACGGAGAAATGGTGAGAGCACCTATTACGCAACTGTGGCAACTGTACCTTGCGTCTGAAGCCTGAAGCCTGAAGCTGTAGCTGTAGCTGAAGCTGTGGATCTGTGACTGAACCAGAAACTGTCCTCCTTCAAGCCCACGCTTCTACTTGAAGTAACGCTGTGTGGACTTGTTCTCGCTTAACGCTTTTTTAATCGCCCATGAAAATTATGTCATCGACATCGCCATCTCAGCTACCCAGATACACGTTCCGACACACACGCACACACGCACACACACAGAGACACACAGACACAGACACCTGCTGTAAGGCTGTTCGAGACAGAAAGTCGTCTCTGGCTGTAAGGACATTTCCAGATTGGCATAAGGAGATGGAAAACAACTTTGTAACTGGCAAAAGTGCATTTAGCCAGCCAACAGACCTGCGACTTGCTCTAGCCAAATTTGTCGCTCCGCAAGGTTGAAGCTGCATAATCGAGGCTTGCCTGTACCAGGCACTCGCCGAGCAGCCTCAAATTAGTCGTCTTTCGGTTTATTTCTCTCGTTTTACAGTCAACAACTTTGACTTTTGACTGCACTGTAATTTAGCCGTAAATTCACATGTTAACTTGTGTGCTGAGTGGAGTGTAGTGAAAAATGCTGCCTTGTGTGGTGTGCCCAGCGGGCGAATCATTTTCCTTCTTCCATCATTTTCTGGTTTGCGGATTTTGCTGCTTGCTGCTTGCTGCTTTGTTGCGTCAAAATTAAATCATCATTAAGTCTGTGCTTTACACATAATTGCTTTAATTTGCATGCCAAAATAGCTAAGAAAGAGAGACTGAAATTCGTTTTACAAGTTGGGGGATTCAATTAAGCTAAACGCTTGTGACAGATGGCCAAAAAGTAAGGAAACATTTCACATATCACATGGGCTCGTAATTGCATTTACAAATTGTGTAGATCTCCCTTCAAAGTAGCCCCCGTGGCTACTGCTTCTTATACCGAGGAGCTGCCATTAAATGAAGGTTAATGGATGATATTTGTACAACACAAATTGAGCTACTGGCAACTCCAATTAAACTGCTAATTAAAACCAATTTAATCCCATTTGTAGAATGACATAACGATGAATCCACCACGACAGAAATCACAGAATCTGAGGCAGATTGGCTCAATCTTTGTTACATTTTTTGGTCCGACCTCGACCAGCAGCAGCATTTAACTGAACAAATTCAGAAATTGCAATTAAATACGTTAGCGTCCAGTCAATTAACTATCGCGGGGGTAACCGAAATGGCAGGCAACATGAAATTCTGGTCCATAGCCATTTTGGCCAAAGCCAAACAACCGACACACACTAGACACTTTCAGTTTAGCCATAAGGACGTACGAGTATGGTTAATTAGCAATGGAAATCCATGAGGAAATGCCAACAGCCGGCAGAGAGTGAGCTCGAGTACTCCGTATGGCCATTGGCTGGCAATACTCAAGTTTGGGGGGAGACCCCAGAAAGGCAGAGAGTCAGACAGTCAGACAGTCAGACAGATCGGAGGTGAATGGCTGAGACTTGCAGTCTAAATAATTAACATTTGTGCAGGTTTTGTCATAATCAATTTTTAATTTCTCCATTCCCCACAGGAAAAAGATCACGACGACAGTTGCCATAAATTCCAGCCAGCTATGAAATAAATCCCATGTCGTTGCTGTCTCTGCTGCCAGACATAATCATAACAATAATAATATAGTCGAAGCCAAGTGGCTCTTGGTCTTGCTCTTGGTCTTTGTCTGTCTCTAGCTCTGGGGTCCACCTAGTTGTCTGTCGGATGTCCGACTGAGAGATGTGCAAAGTGATACTGCAGCTGGCTCTCTGCTCTCTTGCGTTTGCTCTCAGAGCTAGTTGTTACTGCTGCTGCGACTCGTAATGCCTTATAAAATATCAACTTATTTTAAATAGTTATATGAGGCTATGGGAGTAGGGGGACAGCTCTCCACTTTGTCTTGGAGTGACTGTGAGTGCGAGTGTGAGTGTGCATCTGTGTGTGTGATGATTATTCTCAAGGTAAACTACATTTTATTGTTGAGAGGCGGCTTTTGTTATTATTATTATTTTTATCGCTTTTGGCATTCGTTCTGGCTTTATTCGCCCACTACCAGCACGAGGTTTCTTTTTGTTTTTCTTTCTTTTTTGCTCCCCAGCCATACGGAAAACCTTACAATATGTTTTTTTGCACTAAATGAAGGAAAACTTCAAGAGTTTCTCAACGTTAGGCAAGCGAAGAGGGAAAGCCTCTGGGCCCATCCATCCATCAAGACTTTGTGTTAGAACTCACAACTACTCACTGGGGCCGACTGACAGACTGACCAAGCCAATGAGTGTGGGCTGCCGGCCTCGGCACACCACACAAAGAATTAAAGGCCACAAATGGTGGGGTAGCTACACCCTACAGTTTGTTTAAGTAATGCAAATAGCTAACTTTTGCAGCTAACTTCACTGCAAAAAGAATAAAATGTAGTTGATGAGACACTCTTAATTTTTGACACTCTGCAAATAAACACAAATGCCCTTTGCTAGGGTATGTATATGTATGGCTCTTGGTTAGTGATTTGTTTTGTTGCTGCTTGGATCCGTTATTGATGAGTTTTCTTTGGCTGGTCTTTTGCTTAGAGTATCATTAGAGAGAGAGAGAAGTTCGTGTTGTTTTTTGCTTTTTGCTTTTTGCTTTTGATGATGCGCATGTTGGTTATTTACTAGCAATTGGGGTTACGCTGTGCGAGGGAGTTGGATTCCTTATGAACACACACACACACACACACACACACTGACCTATCCGCTTCACGTGCACATCCCGGTTGAAGCTGACGCGTGGTCCTCCATTTGTTGCTGTTGCTGCTCCAGATTGCTGTTGCTGTTGTTGTTGCATCTCAGTATATTTGCGGTGATTTGCTCTCTCTTGTTTTGTATTTGTTCTCTACCTTTCTGTCTCTTTGTTTCTCTTGTCTGTCTTTGTTACTCTCTCTCCTTTTGGGCTATCTTCTCTATCGGAAGAATTCGAAGCCCTAAGTGAACTTTCTGTGCGACAGTCTCATCGAGCTGCTTGAACTGCTTCTCGCATTTTCCATTTAAGCAGGGAAATTGAAATTGTTTTTAGCTGCAAGAAGAAACAATTCTCAGATATATAAGCATCTATTCTCTGTGCGGGGGATTTCACTGTTTGGGTTTGTTATTTGTTGTGTTTGTTATTTTGATCTGATTATCTGATTATCGTACTTATTATCCAGCTCGCGTTAAGAGCGCAGCTCGCTGTTAGACTTTTTACTCCACTTTACTCCTCTTCCTCGTGTTTGGTTTTAGTTTTAGTCAAACTTGTATTTATTTTGTATTTGTTTTAGCTGTAGTTATGCTAGATCTGGCTTAGGTACGTGTCCGCTTGGCGAGAGAAAGTGTTGTTACAATTAAATCATATTTGTTAACAAAAGGAACGTAGAAAGACAGAGCGCAGAAAGCAAAGTAAAGGTATTATAATATGCATTAGGATTCCCGTAAGAATGGTAAATAATATTATACAGTCTTTCTTCAATTGTTTGTTGTGCATGACAGCAGTCAAAAGAATAATTGCCAATTAATTTGTATTCTTATTTCAATTCTGATTCTGATTCTGATTCCCACTCTGACTGATCCCTCAGTTTCGGGTGTGGGCCACGACCAATCGAATCGCGTTTTTATGTATTTTTGTTCCATTTTTTGTGGTTCTTTTTCTCGGACAATTACAAAAATAGACACACGACCGAGGGTGCTTGGTGCTTGGTGCTGCATACGAGATTCAAATTCGATTTGCCATTGTCACAGAGAGCGGACCAGACCAGACCACAGCAGAGCGAGGCAGAAGGAGAGGGCAGAGGTACGGAGTATAGGACTCGCCAGGCGAGTTTTCCAGAGTGCTCTGCCCCGAGGAGTGGAGAAAACTGTAGAAATATTGATTGCGATTAAGCAAACGCGATAATATTCATATTTGAATGCGAGAGCACACAAACAATGCACCACGCCCGAGGGGGAACTTCGGACTAGCCCTACAGTCCTCCCCTGCTACAGCCTGCCCCTGCCCCTGCCCCTGCCGCGAGTGGATCCCCCAGAAGAGCGTCCAGTTTAGACAACAGCGCCCCATAGACACGCACACCCACCACCAACGCGCACACATGCACAGACTGCGACTGGACGCGGGCATGGCAAATCCTGAATACCCTTCAGAGATCACAGGACACAGAAATCACTGAGAGCTTCGCCAGTCTCAAAGCATGACTGGGAAGCGCGGTAATGTGTGCAAAATGCACGTCTATTATGGCACCTGGACAAGCACTGGGACAGCTATCGAAAAGGAGACCAGAGCAGACCACTTGGTCGCTTGGTCATTCACTTACTGGCTTACTTACAGGACAGGCCGAAGCCAGGCTCAGACTACTCCTAGGCCTTTCCGCTCTAACAAGCACAATCGCCCGGCTAGACATCAATGGCAACATTGTCTGTCTGATCATGGGCACCGCTGGACACGGGGCCAGGCTCCTCGGCCTCGGCCTCGGCCTCGGCCTCCATGCCACGCCATTGCCGGCCTGAGCGGGGTAGAGGGTAACAAAAAACGCTGCAAGCTGCCAATAAAAATCCTTTACCATATAATTTGAGTGCGCATGCGTGCGCCCTGACTTTGATGGGAAGCTGAAGCTGCAGTTGGAGTTGGAGTTGGAGTTGAAGCTGTAGACTTGGCAGATGCCGATGTCTGATTCCTGATTCCTGATGCCGATTGCTGAGCGTTGATTGCGCCATGAACGTGATTTGTTTGTAAACACGCATTATTAAGGTGTAATAAACATAAAATTTGTATCGCTTCGCGGACCTTGGAGTCTCAGTCGGATTCGTAGATGGAGTTGGAGTTGGACCACTCGATGTGTGTGTGTGTGTGTAGAGTCTTTCAATTAAACTAAAAAGTCTAGAGTCTAGACACACACACACACACAATGTCTCACTCAAGTGCAATTTTATTCTAATTTCATTCGTTTGCTTCGCTCATTCACAGTCTCGCATTCGCATTTGTGGCTAATTTTGAGCCGAAATTACTTGAAATTATACAAATTACACACATGGTACGTACATGGAAATGGAAATGGGATTAGATTAGAGCGCAGAGTAAACAATTTAGCCATCAAATGACTGCCAAAACATCCCACAACATCCCCTGACCGTGGGCCCCACGAAGAACAATAATCATTCTGAACTTGAACTTTAACACTGCGGTAATGATAGGAAGGCCCCGCAAACAAGAACCCCAGACCGAACCCAACCCCAATCCGTACTCCTCCTTTGGCAACAGAAACAACAGCACCGTGTGGCCGTGTCAAGTGAAACCAAAAGTGCGCCGAGGCACAATTCGAGGGGCAGAGGCAGAGGCAGAAGCAAAAGCAAAGCAAACAAACGTCTCGCCGGTTGCCCACTTTGCGTGTGTTCCCAGCGGTTGCCGCGGCTCTGACCTCTGGGGTTCTGGGGTTCGGGCCAAGCCAAGGGAGATTGAGAGTCATGCACTGAGAGAAAATGCACTTGCCCCATTTCCTTGCAGCATAAAAGCTGCCATAGCCAGGATCAAATATCGGATACAATATTTATTGTTATTTCGATTATTTCCCACTACCACAACTTTTCTCCCAGTGTAGTGCTCTCAGAGTGAGACAGACGAGTGCGGCCTTTTGGTATAGAAGTGAAAATGAAGGTGTAGTCCAATTTGTAAGTATGGCCAAGCCCTATGGCCATACAAAGTCCAAGTTATGCAAAGATCAACCTTGCTCCAGCTCCAGCTCCATCTCCATCGCCAACTCCAGCTCCGACTGTAGCTCCTGCTGGTGCGGCTCCAGCTTCAGCTCCCTCTGGAGTTGAGATTCAATGTGGTGGACTGGACCTTGTCTAGCGCACATTTTTCCATGCGTGCAGCATGGAGCGGAGGAGCCGCTTTGTTGGTGGCGTGGCGCTCGTTCGCGTCTTCGACTTTGGCAAATACTTAATTGCATTTCGATATCTATGCTCAGGCATCTGTGAGTGAATGTGAATGTGAATGCCGCCGCTGCCGCAGCCGCTCAATGCCCCAGACAGTGGACGATCGGACAGCCAAAGAACGCGCCGGCGCTGTCTTTGGCAAGAAGGAACGGAATGGGGATGGGGATCGAGTCTGGGGTCTGTGGTCTCTGGTGAGTTGAAGCTGCAGACAGACAGACACAGACACAGAGAGAGTGAGAGAGAGGGGGAGAGGGTCAATTGTCAATTCTTACAACTAAATTCCCCTCGTGCGCAATCGTGCGCTTTACTAAGGAAATTAGTAATTGCTACTCCCATTTAGAGTCATCTGCTTCCATGCGCTTATCTGTTGTGAACCAGTGGCATTTGCTGAGATGATGACAACAACAATGACGAGTTCTTTCCATCTTTTCCGCTCTGAGCTGGCGATTGTCCAGCGCCCACTCACATACGCTCAGAGGCGCAATCTCGTTCGCCCCCAGGGGTCCGAGTGTCTGAGTGTCTGAGAGTCTGAGAGCTTTCTTGAGCTAATGAATGAATGAATGAATGAAAACTTCAATAGCATGATGGGAACACCAAATGAAAAACGAAATGCGAATCATCTGTTAGAGAGTTGTTCTATCCCCCCGTCGCTTGCTTTCTGCCAATGCCAAATCTGGCCACAATGTTTGTCATCGCTTCTGGTGGGGTGCACTGCCGTCGTTTTCACGCTTTGTTAGCCACCTAAACTGTACACGCATCTGTGTGTATCTGTGTGTTACCTTCTTCTGCTTAGAGGAAGCTCTTCCCCTTGTGTAGTCTCAGACTCAGTCTCAGACTTGGACACGGGCTTACTATGTGTGTTAGAAGGTTAATCTCTGTGGCATTACACGGCAACCTTTGCCAGGCATGGCCAGTGAGTGGGTTTCGGTAGTTGTAAGCGGAAAATGTGAATCCATTTCTCCTCCTCCTGCGTGCGAGTATTTTTTGCATGATTAATCTATCTGTGAGCTGCGAGCCATACGAGAGATTTCACTTTTCCAAACTCATAATTAGCCCAGTGACGCGGCGCTTCGGTTTCGGTTTGGATCAGCAGATTATGCCCAGATCCAGAGCTGAGAAAGCACTGCCCCAAGGGGGCCATGTCATACCTGCTGGTTGGGCGACTTTTAACCTGTGCGAAAATCAATTAGGAACTCCGACACACAAAGAGTTTTTATCTTTTATCAATCGATCGATCAAAAAGTCAACAAAAAAATCCACTTAAGATCTGAGACCGATCATCGGTCGGTATGTAAATAAATTCATTATGAGCATCGAATTATTACCAACATGAGACATGCGAGTTATAGCCGCACTTCAGTTGTCTCTTTCCTTATCATCTCTAGCCGCTTTTTCGTGTCACGATGTGCAGTCATTTAGCGCCATTCGCCCAGCCGATATGGGCCGATACTTGTAAGTGTACGTGGGACTCATCATCACGTTCGCGTTTCCATCTTTTCTGCACCATTCTCTGCTTGTTATCGATTGAATTTATCGACAATTGTGCGCAATTATTGAGCCGCGACTTGGGTTGTGCAAAAAGAATCCACAAAACACGAAGAGGCAGGCCTTTCTTGGGAAATCAATAAAAGCAGCAGCGTCCAAAGGTTTCCGGCAACGTCTCAAGCGCGGTGGCAAAGGTCAGGCTCCGCTCTCATCCGCTGTGCTCCCAGCTCTTCTCAATTCCAAAAAAAAGAGCCAAAGAAAACGAATGTTTGGAGGCCAGAAGGAGGCCTCGTTGAGTGGGAAAAGGGCGACTCTGCACGCGATGCTGTGCGATGCTGCTGCCAACTGTTTTCCTTTGCCACTGGCTGACTGGTTGACTGGCTGGCTGGCTGGCTGGCTGGTTACCTTCTTTGGGTCTGTAGTGCATGTCATAATCAAAGCTGCGGTGCATGCGCC